GGGTCATAGGATGCCCATTTTCCACAAGTTTATATGATTCTTTAGGGTCTTAATGAAAAGTCTGTAACATAGTTTGGTTCAAATTTCTCAATGATAGTGTAAAAAACACTTTTTTTACCTTGTCAAAAACCAGCTCTTTTCAGATCAAGCCGTTTTTGTAGCATTTTCCTTTAAATGTTAATGAGCTCTGCTGACCCCGCCCCTCTCTTCCGAGCTGCTCTCAGAGAGACTGTTTACTTTAGCCGCATTCATGGTGAAACTTGCTAATTAGCACATTATTAGGAAAGGCGATTTGCAAAGATTCATTACAAAACATTATACTCATTTCTTCTGTAGATGAGGCTGGCTCATGAATGATTTGCACGAACATAGACACATTTATGTAGATCGGGGATCGGTGCATTCCCTTCAGAAACAAACGTAATCCTCTGCGTCTTCTCAGATGTCGGGAGTAAATGATGACTGCTATGTTCATTATTACATCCAACAACAGAACAATCTACATCTGCTCCAGCGGTGAAACAATGGCGGACCTGATGACAGCTCACTCAGGGCGGGTCTAAGGTAAGATGCCAGTCCAGTCTGTGCTGAAACGCTACTGTCAATCAAACTATAGTGGGAGGGGCCTGTCTGTGTGACGTCACACAGACAGGCATCTGAGATCAGCTCGATTTGAGAAAGGGGAAAACATTTAAACAGATTGAAAAAAAAAACACTGGGTGGATTTTTATCATTTTAGGGTGGTTGAGTACACACACTGCAAACACACATTTCAGTTCAAACAACTTGTAAAAGTGCATGTAGTATCCTATGATCCCTTTAATTAATAATAAAATATATTTATATTTATAAATGAATATAAATTATTGAATCGTTTTTGTGCGATTTGGGAACCGTTTTAAAAGGTTCATTGAAAAGAATCAGTTCGTTCTTGAATCAGACACCGCTCTATATATTTATTTTTAAATTAAATAAATATATACATGTAAATATTTACTAAAATATATATGGAGTGAGTGTCTTTATATATACAGTATCTCACAGAAGTGTGTACACCCCTCACATTTTTGTAAATATTTTATTATATCTTTTCATGTGACAACACTGAAGAAATGACACTTTGCTACAATGTAAAGTAGTGAGTGTACAGCTTGTACAACAGTGTAAATTTTCTGTCCCCTCAAAATAACTCAACACACAGCCATTAATGTCTAAACCGCTGGCCACAAAAGTTAGTACACCCTTAAATGAAAATGTCCAAATTGGACCCAACATGTGAATATTTTGTGTGGCCACCATTATTTTCCAGCACTGCCTTAGCTCTCTTGGGCATGGAGTTCACCAGAACTTCACAGGTTGCCACTGGAGGGGTGTACTCACTTTTGTGGCCAGAGGTTTAGACATGAATGGCTGTGTGTTGAGTTATTCTGAGGGGACAGCAAATTTACACTGTTATACAAGCTGTACACTCACTACTTTACATTGTAGCAAAGTGTCATTTCTTCAGTGTTGTCACATGAAAAGATATAAAATATTTACAAAAATGTGAGGGGTGTACTCACTGCTGTGAGATACTGTACATAATAAATATACAGTAAACACATATGTAAACAAAAACACTTTTATTTTGGATGCAATTAATCGTTTGACAGCACTACTGATCTATAATGTATAGAGTCTTGAAATGGTATGCATTATTTAATCTGCATATAAACATCTGTGAATGCAACTTGAATGCGCAACATGTCCTAATAACGAATGCTTGACTTGGAGGAACACTTCACTTGTGGCAGAATAATTCAGCACTGATGTAATCTATTTTTCTTGCATCTTACAAGGCAACAATTACACAATAGCTTAAAAACACTCCCATTGCTGTCATGTCTACTTTATTTAACAGAAAGAACCTTCTTAATGTAAGGCTGAACCTCTACAAACCTTAAAGAGCAGAAAATCACATTACATTTTACACTGTCATCTTCAATACAGTATTTCCCACAGTCAGTTTGAAATGAGAGTTATTAACATGTCTAACTCCAGTGCGTCAGGAACCCTTTTAAGACCTCCCTCTCCTAATGACTACGTGTGGAACGAGGTGTTGAGAGGTAGAGATTAGCACCCTGTGAACGTTCCCTCCGAATAGAGTACTCTCCGAGTACATTAAGGGCTGGAAAATGACTATGTCACAGCACTACACAGTCTGGAAAAGGTCATCCACACGGTGCTTAGATACCAAGGTGATGATATTTTAAGCGTTATCCGGAGCAATTAAAACCCAGGGACAAGGAGCGAGAGCAACTGTGGATACTCAGAGCTTCGATCGAAATGTCGTGCTGCCTCATAAGTGATCATTCTCTCATAAGAGAATGATGTGGAGGCTGTCAGAGTGAAAACTTTGTGTCTGTGTGTATAAAAGTTGATGGGATGATTTTTAGAAATCTTTTTAAGGACATTTCCATGACAATATGATGCATATTTAAAGGAAGAGATTAGAAAAAAAAATGCTTAGCCAGAGATAGACTGTATTTTTTATTAAAATTTATTTACAAAAATAAATGTTATTAAAGATGTCATGTTATTAAACAGAAGTGCTAAGGCCTATACAATTTTAAATAAAAAAACTATCATTTAAATATATAGTAAAATATTAATACTTTAATAATTAATACTTTTACAACAGTTTCTTTAATATATATATTAGCGCTGTCAAACGATTAATCGCATCCAAAATAAAAGTTTTTGTTTATATAATATGTGTGTACTGTGTATATTTATTATGTATATATAAATACAAACACATGCATGTATATATTTAAGAAAAATATGTTGTTTATATATTAAATATATTTATGTATAATATAAAATATAAGAATATAAATATATAAATGTATATACATGTAAATATTAAAAAGTATATATACTATGTGTGTGTATTAAATATAATAAATATACACAGTACACATACAGATATTATGTGAACAAAAACTTTTATTTTAGATGTGATTAATCACAATTAATCGTTTAACAGCACTAATATATATATATATATATATATATATTAGTACTTCCGTTAAAATAAATTATCAAGTTCCGTTAAAATTAATTATTCAACTAGCTGAAATAAGTTTTTTATATTGTATTTTATTTTGGTTAATAATAATAATAACAATAATAATGTCTATATCTACATATTTTTATATATGTTTGGCAGGTTAGCATATATTCATTAGCGCCTCTGTTGGTAGATAACTACACTGTAAAAATTTTGCAAGCAGTACTTAACTATTTCACTTTATTATAATTTTTTACCAGTGATATCACAGTTATGTCTTGCACTCACCAAGCAACTGCCATTGAAATGATTGAAAATGTCTTGCTTCAGACTGTCATGACGACAACAGTTTCTTCAGCTGCCATTTATATTAATATCGCATAATCTAGCGAAGTCATCACGTACTCTTACTTATGGTAGTTTTTGAGTTCTCGTGGCTAAAACGTATGCTTGCCGAGCAAACATGGTCACCATCACAGGCCTCTTTATTATGCAGAGGCTGCAATCAGATTGTAGAAGGGGGCATGGGGGTCTTGAACGAGAAGGCCACTCTGACATAAGCACACCCGCTGCCATTATTACAACCCTAATGACACACTCCGCACGCTGCATGCTGAGCACTCAGCTTCAGGGGGTCCGTCGCGAACCGCTGCAGAAACTGGCGACATGTCATCAATGCGCATCAATCGAAATCCTTTGCCTTCAAAAAACAGAACGAAAGAAACAGAGCCCTTCAGATAGTCTTTCATGGTTCAGTGGCCTTACAGGGGTTCCTCCAGCACGGCCCTGAAATGGGCAAATTAATAGTTGCTTTGGAACAAATTGGAATTACACCCCTCGATGCATTAATGTCAGAATGCAAGCCAGATTCCCTGACAGGGTGAGGGGAGGAGAAGCTTCGCCAGGCAATGAGATACTAGGAGAAAACGCCATTTACGCTCTTCTCTCGCTCCTGTGGTGTGAGGGAACGCTTAAATGACGTGCACTGTGAATAACAGACACGACAGAGCTGGATAAAGACCATTTTCTGTTGGTTTGCCCACTGGCAAGCGTCACTGAACCCTTGAGAAACAGCTTTGAACTCATCTATCATAGGACTAATGAAAGTAATGCTTTCATTATCAAATCATTACGCTCAGTGATATTTTAGAAGATCTGAGAAACATCTTCAGCACTCTCTAAGAATGTGGTACACTTTGATGTCCCATTACCTATTTAAAGCTTTTTAGGCACCAATTCCATATTTTTTGCTTTTTTTTTTTTTGAGCAAACCAATAGATAAAAAAATAATGTGACAAAGTTAATTTTGCATTTAAAGCAACCAGATTTAAACATCTGTATGCCCCTTAAAATGAACATTTTAACCTGTCCAAAGGATTAAAATCATCATAATTCTGATTTAAGTTGTTAAATTGATATTCAGTTCATTGCAGTGAATAATATTTAGCGATGTCCTCACAGCTTGTCCTCATCAATGATGTCCATTATAAAATTGACAAAAAATAGTAATTTCATGGCAGATAGACAAATAATCTCACTGAATAATAACCTCTTTAAAAAAAATTTAATAAAAAAAACACTTGTTTACTGATAATTGCTATTAAAATCCCAAATTAATGATTAAAACAGGAAAAAAGTAGAAATGTCACAACAAATTCTTAAAAAATCATTTAAAAATACTGTTTAGTTTGATATCTTAAGGTTAATGATCAACATTTAATCGCCTTCTTTCACTGACCATTTGAAAAAAGAAAGTTGTGGAAAGTGCACTTTAGTCCATGAGAATGGTTCTTTCTTGAGATCTTAAGTGCACTTTATCTTGATTGACATCTGAATAGCTACAGTACTGTTGTTTAGCATAAATAACAGAAATAATAATAATAAATTCACAAGTATTGTTTATTACCAAGGTCACATTTTTTTTGAAGTACCTAAATACAGACTCGTCTTGAACTCAAGCTTTGAGGCAGATGAATTGTCCCACTATTTTTACACTGAAATAATGTTTAAAACTGAGAATAGCCCCAAACATGAGCGCAGACAACAACACTGTCAATGATAAAGGATGTTCTGGAATACACTGTAGTTATAAAAATCAGATTTGTAAAAAATAATAAAATAGACTTTGCTCTTACATCAGGAAGTAATGCATTTTTTATATATCACAAGCCACTGTCAGTTTTACTGTCAATGCAAGTTCATATGCGTATAATGCATTGGTGTTTAAAAATATGAAATAAAAACAAAAGCAAGTATTATAAAGCTGATAATTGAAGAGGGTGCTGGCGGAACAGGAACGAATAGTGTGCAGTCTCTGTATATAAAAAATACGCTCAGAAACGCTCTTGAGTAATCTCTGGATACCATGTTCTCATCCATGAGTCATGGGAAATGTCAGTTAGTGTATGAAAAATAACTTTGACTGGACATACGGTATATTTAAGGTAGAAACAAGCTCATATGCAGATCATGATCAGCCGCAGCATTCTTGACGGTGGACTTGAACATAGATTCTTTGAAAAAATATATAGAGATCACAGCATTGACAATTTTTTAAGCTGGCAATTGTGGTCATTTAATCATTTTTCTGGTTAACAAAGGAGGCAGTGGCAGTTCACGTCTGTTGATTTAATTTGTGAGTTATTTTGCATCCCGCTATTCAGCAGGAAATGAGGTGATGGCGCTGACTGTGTAGACAAGACGATTACTTCATGTGAGGTAATGTTGACAGATTTTCAGTCTGGGATCTCCTGCTCAGTGCTTTCCTCTTTCACAGACTCCTCAACCTCTTGTGGATCTTCCTCCTGAAAAACAAACAAAAACAAAAAAATAGCATATTCAGTGAAAAAAAAAAAAATTATTTTAAAAATAGCTTCTTAAGATGTTCATAAATGATTCATATTGAATAATCAGTTCAGTTCAGGGTCCATTACCAGACATACAACATTATAACACATAATAATCAGGGATGTACCGATCAATATCGGTATATGACCGATATGGACATTTATGTGGGATCGGGTGTGATATCCAAATCCGATACTGTGTATTATTGTTAATGTAAAGCTACAAAAAACCTTAAAGTACAGGTTGGTGTTGCGTACACAGTATTAACCATATGTATGATATTAACCATATTTAAGCAGTGTGCGGTTAAGTTAATGAGGTAGATATTCTAAACTGATCAAGATCAAATCTAGAAAAAAAAAACCATATCTTATTGGCATTGAACATCCTATTGGTATTGAACATGAAAAAGTGTCATCCCTAATAATAATGTTATTTTAGTTTGAATTGCGCAAACAACAATGTCAAAATGGCTTGACACCTCAAAACACATCTTAGTCGATTTTATGCGCAAAAAATAGTAGTCTGTATCCATTGTATTATTTTCATTGTTATTTGGATGTATGTTGCTAGAAAATCACTAAAAATGTCCCATGAACCAAGGTTTTAAACTGTATTTTGACATGCTACGCTTAATTCTGAATAACGGTAATTTTAGTGCCTCTACGGCAAAGAACAAACGTCATGCCAGAGTCACTTACACAACCTGCAAATTTAGGAGACGACAAACAGGAAATGACGGCCATCTCAGCTTTTAAGCGAGTCTGACAGATGCAATTATCTCCTCCTCCAAAGGTTAATAAACACATCTACGCACAGCCATGTGTGATGGCAGAGCCCTGACCACACACTACACTCAAAGTAGCTGAGAAGCGCATGATGATTCATGGCTTTACTTACAGAAAGCATCAAGAGTACAAAACATCGACAACGACATCTCATTAAAAACACCTATTGTTCCTGAAAGCTCCTAATACATTTATAGAAACAAATCTGATTATAACAGTAATTACATAATGACCTTGTAATTACATAGTAATAACTTTGTAATGAACGTGCTCTCTCTCTCTCTCTCTCTCTCTATATATATATATATAAAACAATGGTTCTACTTTATGTTAAGGTCTCTTTAATACACTCAGTATTTATACAGTATATTTAAGTACAGAGTAATATTAAATAACTACATTTAAGTACTATATGGTTAGGGTTAGGATTAGAGTTTGGCTTACGGTAGTCAGTACATGTAACATGCGTAACAAGTACACCTCAAAATAAAGTGTTACCAAAACTACTTTAGGCAGTTTCATTTTTCAGACAACTTCTTTAAAAGTATCCATTGCCCCCTAAAGCTCCTAATTCATTTACATTCAAGACATAGTAACAACATAGTAATTACACAGTAATAACCTAATCATTACATATATATAATAATAGCTTTGCAATGAAGTATGTCCACAATATAAGGAAACAACTTTAGGCCAGCTTATTTTCCAGACATACAATCATCAGAATTGTGATACACATCCAATATACGGCTTCAAGAGCCACCTCAGCAGTTAGTCTGGGCAGACAGCTTTGCTTTATTCAGTATTGTCGCTCCCATATGGGTCTTGTCTCTGTCTGTGGATGACTTTTGATATGCAGCCAGGCCTTTATGAAAAATGAGTTACTTTTTCCTGAACTCTGGGTAATTTGCTGTTGCCGGCCCGTGTGGCGATATAAATCTCGCAGTGGGACAACACCTCATGAACCTTGCTGCCAGATCAGCCGGTGCCATCCACCAAATCTCTCTGACAAGCCTGCCAATTTTCCAATTACTTCTGGTGCCATACATTATCATCAGGCCAGTCAGCACTTAAAAGGAATACAAGAGGGGAGGGTGGTCCGGTGCATGCTAACAATCTCATGGAGTGCCTCGATTGAGCTTTTTCACACTCCCATGGACACACATGGACACAAACGCTTACTCGTTGACCCACACGTCATGGCCCGTTTGTGATTTAGTGTTTATCCTGGGGCGGGGTGAAATCAGGGCTCTTGGATACTTCTTGGTTGGCTAGATATGGGACACCAGCTACTCACGGAGCTCACCAGTAAACAAAAACAAAACAAACTGTTTTGAATATGTTTTAAAATGTAATTTATTCCTGTGATGGCAAAGCTGAATTTTCAGAATCATTACTCTCCAGTCTTCAGTGTCACATGATCCTTCAGAAATCATTGTAATATGCTGATTTGCATCCTTGCTGAATGAATGTGTTAATTTCTTTCAAAAATAACATCTTACTTTACCCTAAACTTTGAAATACTAAAGTACATATAACATTAATGTATATAATATACATTATTACTACTGCAATGACAATAGGGCAAGAGGTGAGACCTTGAGCAATGTTTTCCAGTTGTACTTACTGATTTCAAGGTTATTGTGACCATACAGCACATTTAACTTGAGAACATTTACATTGTATTAAGCACTAAAGTTTGAGTAGATTTTATGTCAAGTCTGTAAGAATTTTAGGTAACACTTTATTTACAAGGTTATCCTTGTTACACATTACATGTACTTACTATTATAATAACAATAAATCATGCATAATTACATGCAAGTAACCCTAAACAAAACCCTAATCCTAACCCTAACCATACAGTAAGTATATGTAGCTAATTAATATTACTCAGTATTTAAATGTATAATTACACTGTGACACCTTAAAATAAAGTGTAACCAAATTTTAAGATCAAATGCAAAAATGTATTTAGTATCAATGCATTTGAACAGAACTGCAAAATTTGCATAATGACAATTCCATTCAAATTATTTCTAAATATTTTTATTTTTTATTATTCTTTTTATTTTTGTGGTTTTAGATGCTGGTCTAACAACAGGTCTGCAAAAGGGGCCGACGAGGGGTCTTACAGCACCATGGTTTTGCACAACTGCTAAAAAAAATTAAAAAAAATTAATTCAAATATATTGTTCACAATTTACTTTCAATTTTACTCTACAATTACAATTTCCTCTATGACTGACTTTCTTCTGTGGAAGATGTTTTGAAGAATGTTGATTTTGGATTTGTTCCCATTTTTTGTCCATACAAAGGAAGTCAAAAGACAACTGAAACCATCTGGTTAAAAACACACATTAACTATCTAGTTTTGTGCTCCACAGAAGAAAGTCAGTCATAAAGGTTTGGAACAACATGAGGCTGAGTAAATGATGACAGTTTCCATGTTTGGGTGGACTAGCTCCTTCGGCTTAAACAGAGACAGTATGCTTAATACTGAAAAAAAAGGAGGGAACATTGTCAGTACTAGGTGGTACTTCCTGTTCCTGTTCCTGTAATCAAAGTTTGAGAAGCACAGCTATAGGGTATAAAAAAACAGGACTCACACCCATCGTCCATCCCCAACCAGATGAAATGCTTTAGATATATATGTCAAAATCAAAATAATTCCAAAATGTGAAGTTCTTCTTCGCTCTATAAAGCTTCAATTTCAAATCCTCTTTTTTTTTTTTTTGAAACAGGGTACTCATTTTGCTGACAGTGTGACATTTGCTTTGTGAGGCAGAGACATGGTGGAGATGCTGGCCCACTGCGGGCCCGATCACGCTGACAGGCAGCGGCTTTGTGGGATATCTCCATCACTCTCCTCCAGGGAAAGCTGGAGCCTTCATTCTGCCATTCACTCTCCATGCAGCAGCCAGCCCTCTGGCTACTGCTTATACATGTATGATAATGAAATGCCACATTCTTCATTCTAATTGCATTTTAGATTTTAAAAGGGCAAAAAAAAAAAAAACTTAGCTCATCTAAAAGAGCGAGAGAAATGTGCGGGAGAGTTTAAGCGAGGAAAGACGGAAGAAAAGCGAGGTCTGGACCCTAGGTGGCAACAAAGGCCTGTGGCGTGTTAATGCATCTGAGTCAGAGATCCCTGCTGCCTTACAGCGACACAATCAAACCCCCTTCCTTTGTTTCTTCCCACCCACCCACACTACACACAGCAAACTTCATAAAGTGGGATTAAAATAAAGCTGTGCTGAAAATAAAATTACATAAAAAAGAATTAAAAATGTATAACACTGCTTTTACTTTAATAAGCTTTAGCATCTTTTATCAAGCTGGCACAGTCCTCAAAGAATTAGCGGGCTAATTAGTATGACTTATTTCTTTATCGCATTTTCTGCTTTCTTTGTATTTATTTGTGCATGTGTGTTATATACGGCTTTTATGTGGTGTAAAGGAAAGAAGTGGCTTTCCGGCCACCCCCCGTTTGATCGGTGTCGGCGTGCATCTGCAATCCCGTAAGCTCCACGGAAGACAGATTGATGTCCCACAACGATGATGAAAACACGCAGCATGTAAGGAAGCAGGAGAGACATCAAGAGAAAATGAAGCGCTGTGGCTCAAACCAATGGGTGTCTTCAGGCAGACATGAGAGAGAGAGAGAGAGAGCACAATCAGGATTATTCATGACCCCTCCTAACCATCTCTCTTCATGGTGGAAAAATATTTACCAGTCAGTGTAATTTGATAAAGCTATACTCACTCAGAGAAGGCTAGTCTTGCGTAACCAGAACTTTAACTGAACAGCAGAAGTTTTGATCCACACTGCAGCTGCTTCTAACCAAGGACCGCCTACTTAAACAAGGAGATACCATCTGACTGGCATTTCAAGTGACCAACCGCATTTTTTTTCTGAGCTATTTATTGGCATGTTTATCTGGAATATATTTTACCACAACAATAGTCTGACATGACACACAAAATAAAGAAAAAGAGTATAGACTGTCCAGATATAATAAAGACAGACTATTTCACCTGTAAGACATACCAAACAAAGTGGTTTATACAGATTTTCTAATTAGTATCTTATTAAACTGTTAATAAGTGTTAAGTGCCTCAAATAAAACAACTGAATATTTTTAAAGGTTTAATGGCACGAGCCTGGC